AGATAGAGTTGCCTTTTTCGCCTGAAGACAGCCGCGGAAGCTGAAGGTCTGGCGAGACTGCTTTAAGAGCACATTTCGTGTGGTACGTGCGAGCATAAATACAAGAGGGAGTGAGTTTTATGCTAAGCAGCACACAAGGCGCTTAGAACTTGAAGACTTTCGCAGATCAGACCAAGTTCATGACGGAAACCGCCGAGCCAATGAAAGCTCGCGCAGAACAACGCGAGAACAGGCGTCGCTCTCAGAATGGATGCAGGTCAATTCCACTTGAAGAACGGAAAATAGCGGCGGGAAATGCAATTCATGAGTTCCGTAATTTATGATGTACAGTAAAATTATGCAAAGGGTATTTGGTAGGTGTAAATGAGTGTGGATGCAGTACGACGAACATGTGTGAAAGCAAGAAGTGACGGAGGATACTAGCCAAAACATACACGCGTGGCACTAATTCTACGAATCGTCCATACTAGGCTCGGGTGATGAACTGTTTGGAATGCTAGCGTCTTGAGATTCTACACCGTCCTGTCCTCCTAGAGAAGACGCATCATCTCTGAATGGGCCACCATTCAGATGGCCGTTCTCCACCGTCGCTTCTACCATCTCGACGTCTTCAGCAGGCGGCCGCACCTGTGGTGTAGCAATAGGTTCCACGGCGTATACCCAGAACTTGCTCTTCTTTTTGCCCGCGACTGACTCGACGACCATCTCAGTCGGCTTGATCGCGGCGGCGCCGTTTACCTTGACTTTTATGCCAGCGGTGGCGGTCGGCGCAGACCCTTCGCGCGAGCTGTCTATGCTCTCGTCTGTCCGTGCTCGCTTCGCAGCGGGCTTTTCTGGTTGAGTCTCGGCAGGAGCGCCCAGTCGAGTGGATCGCCGCTCTCCTCGCCAATCGGCCCACTCGTCTGCAGTCTTGTTCGAGCCATTTACAGCGGCTCTAGTCGACCGCCTCGTGCCCGCTCGGCGATGGCCTGAGGCGGGCCTGTCCTCGGCGGTCTCGTCATCCTCGAACTGATCATCCTCGTCTTCCTCCTCCTGGAACTTGTACTCGTCTTGGTCGTCCTGAAAGTGCCCGTAAGATCGCGCAACGCCCTTGAAAAGTCATCACGTAAGACACGTACCTCTTCTGCGGGATCGTTGAGGTAGGCATAGTCCGGTCGTGTCGTGCGCCGCCTTGTACGTGTTTCCCGAATCTCAGCTTGCGCGATGAGCATGTTCCTCTGAGCAATCTTCCTCTGGGCACGTTGAATACGCTACAACACCTTGGTTAGAACCGTTCCAGCCACTAGGTAAAATCTGCCCCGTGTGACTTACCGCTGTTTCCGCGTCGATAGCGGTCAGACGGGTTTCCAAAGCCTGGACAAGGTGTATATGGTTCAAGTCCGTTTTCTTGTACGACTTATCACCTGCTTTTGGTGGAGGCGGTGATGCCTCCTTGAGCTGCGCCATCAGCGCGAGGTACTCTTCACGGTCTGAAGACAGAGCTTGGAATGAAGACGTAATTTTCCACGGGTTTGTGGACACGTAAACTCTCGGTGAATCTGTTAAGGATACGGCATGATTAGCCGCGTAGGCAAGCACGAAACTATGATGAGAACCGCAATATGCCGAGCTTATGTTTCAACAGCTCCAGATAGGAAGGCAAATATGCGCAAATATAGGGCGGAGGGAAGAATGCAAATTTTGGGCCGTACGAACCATCAATGACCCAGTACCGCTTCCTCTGTATATCTTGGCCTAGCGGTACGAGTTGCAGGTGCTCTTGGCTTTGTGGGTCGGTAGCGGGGGGACGAGAAGGGGTCATCTCCGCCTTTTTATGCTTGTTGTGTACGACACCCCACGCTCTGTCGATGATCTTCTTGATGTCATGACTGTGGCAGAGTTGGAACTCCACGAGCTGACGCAGAACCCTGAGCTGTGGTAGGATACAATAAGCACAGCCAGAACGACAAGAGAGCTCGGATAAGCGCATACTTTGATATCCCATGAAGCACCCCAGAAGCCATTCTCTATACCCTGCAAGGGATCTTCATTTGTCCTCCGTTCGTCATTCCAGAATACTCCCCTTTCCTCCCCCTTGATGTGCTCCTGGATGAGTGAGGCGATAGAGGCAGTAATCACGTCGGAACTGGGGCAGGT